TTTTACAGTTGGCCCAACCGTGTTGTGATCCGATTGTTAAACAAATCAACCTTTTTTATTTATTTTTTCGGTTGATTTTTTATTTTTTCTTAATTTTTTGCTGTTCAATTAATTCTTTTTCTTTATTATAATTTAATTTTTTTCAATTTTAAATCATATTTTTATTCTTTATTTAATTTTTATAATTTCCTTTTGTTTTATTTATTTTTATTTTTTATAATAATTTTAAATTTTCTAAATTGTTTTCGGCTTATTATAATTTATTTTTTTAAATTTAAAATACTTTTTAATATTCTTGCTTTAATTTTTATATTTTCATAATTTTCTTCAATTTAATTTTTCCTTTTGCTTATTATTATTATTATTATTATTATTATTATTATTATTATTATTGGTAATAATTTTAAAATTTCTTAATTATTTTCTTCTTATTATAATTTAATTTTTTTTCAATTTAAAATACTTTTTAATATTCTTACTTTAATTTTTATATTTTTATAATTTTCTTTAACTTATTTTTCCTTTTTTACTTTGGTATTTAATTTTTATTTAATTTAATTTATTTATTTTTCTTAAATTTTTTAAAAAAAATTTAATTGTTTTCTTTTTATCATATTTTAATTTTTTTTCAATTTATATATATTTATATATTCTTTCTTTAAATTTTAAATTTATTTTTCTTTTTTATTTTGGTATTTTATTTTTATTTTCTATTATTTTCTTAATTTTTTTATAAAAATTCTTAACCGTTTTATTTTTATCATAATTTAATTTTTATTTTTTCAATTTATAATGCATTTTAATATTCTTTCTTTAATTTTAATTAATTTTTTTTTTGTCTGTAATTCTTATTTTTGTTTTTTTCTTTAATTAATTAAATCATTTCTTTTCTTATTAGTGCCAATGTAAAATGAATCTATTTATTGCATATAGTAGTTACAATTTGGTTCGCTTAATTTCATGAGATTATGTTTTATTCCATTATCTCTTGTAGAATGTTTTGAAATTTAAATTTTTGGAGCATGAAGTACCATCTCGATATTGAGTTGAGACGGATGGCAGGAAAATATACATAAAATAGTATTTTCGATAGTTTTACTACCGTATTAGAGTTACTCGATGATCAACAGAGAAATATGTTACGCCAGTTTTTAAAGCTTTTACTTGCTTGAGGCCTTGAACCTCTAAAGTCATTCTTCACAAGCTGATGTATATTGCAATTGTATCAACAGAAAAGCTAGTGGAAGAACAGAGACAATTTGACGCTGTTATTGCATTAGAGGTACGTCAATGTGTTGATGCTGAAGCAACTTCCATACAATGATGTGATTCCTTAAGAAACACGATAGGATATTATACTTGGTACCCACTACCCCGTGAGCATATCTTACAGAATAAATTGCTAATGTTTTGCCATATATCTTCGGATTATATATTCTTTCGTTTGCATGTACTTGTAAGAATACAGGTGATTGAGCATGTGGCAAATCCTTCTGAGTTTTGCAAATCATTGTCGGAACTGACGAGTTCCAGTGGAGCAACTAT